AGTCAGTCAAGGAAACCGGTAATAAAAATCCATCTGTCAGCAAAACTTTCTCCGAAAATGATAGGCTTTTGATTCACTGTCAACTCAGCAAATTGGATCGACGGAATAAGCACTTTGGGTATCAGCTCAACTGGCCTGCAACCACACTTCTGTTGCCCACGATCTGCTCTCGTCCGGAATGGCAAATCGATTTCGTTTCATCGAGTCTTTATGAAGTTGAGGAAGCTACAGAAAATCTGAGGCGAGGGCAAACTTCAGGGACTAACAGGCTAACACACGGGACTGTCGATGATGTGGACACAGTTTTAGCAGTCTCAGTCACATGGAATGTTCGGTAGAAACTAGAAGCTGCGCGTAATCCTGTCTGAAAGGTCTCAATCGTTGATTGTCCCGATTGATGAGAAAGGAAAAATGTTACTATCACGGAGGAAGCAGTATAACTAATTATGTAACGCAAATATGGGCTTCAATAATACTGTGTTATCTAACGAATGCTCAAGAAGAGCCGACAAGAGAAGATCAGGCCGGTTTTTGACCCAAAACGTGGATGTTCAGACCAAATATTCACTATATATCGGCACCTAGAAGAAACGCACGTTCAGACGCCTCTGCTGATTGCGAAGTTCTTTCTCAGTGTCTGTCGTTGAAAGACATAACAAAGAAGTATAATAACCTTACATAAGCTCTGTACTCGAATACCAAGGGTCGTGTCAGAGCTTATGGCAAACTGTCATCAGAATCAATAAATTAATGTGGTGTTCGTTTGGGCGGAAAGCCCGATTGACTTTTGCATGTGTTCGTCACCTATGGTGTAGGCGAGATATCAGTTTGCTATGGCACAGCAGTGCGATGTGTCCTAATACATCGATGCGAAACATGGCCGGTAAGAGTAGAGGATATTCGTCAGTTGCTGGTTTCCGATCATATATGACTTCAAAGCATTGCTCGTGTGACGTGGGACAACTGAGTAGACAGTTTTGTTGTTAGGAAATAGGTTCTAGGTTAGGAAGCCAGATCACTGGGTGAAGTGTTGATACGTCACACTTCGTGTGAAGTGTAAAGCTAACCTTGTGTGTTGTGATTTTATATCTTATCCGCTCTTCAGTGACTGCTGATTACATGTGTTATAATTGGTGATGGGGGTGGTCACTGGAAAACTCGAAGCAAACTCAGGCGAACCCGTGATGCTTCCAGCCAAGGCAACAAACAGAGCAAGTCCTCGTCAGCCGACACTTTTGGATAATCCGTCGGATTGTGCCATTTGAAAATATTGAGTGGTAGCATATCTTCGCAAATTGCCAGCCTCAGAACATTCCGATTACCTCGTATCGTTCTTGAGTGACGGTACAATCAAAAGAATAAGCGCATTAGGCTTCTCAGCAAGCAACTCACTAGCTCAAAACTGGAATATATTAGATGACTGTTGTTCCCTACCTGTAAATAATCAGCCGGTACGCTCCCGTTTCGCTGAAGGGCTGTTGCACGGCCCACTAAGAGAACACTTTCAGGCGGTTTGGCAGGAACGCTTGGAGTTGTGGTCTTTACCGATTGTGTAATCCGGGGGAGCCGTGTCATCACTATTTATCTTCTGGACGTGTTATTTAATATCTGCACAATCACCCCAGAGGGAGAGTACAAAGTGTGTTGATTTAAATACTGTTAGACATTATAGCTTCGGCATCCCTCATCAAGGAAGTTTTTCTAAAGAGACTTAATAATAAACCTCAGCAAAATTGATGCTCTTCCGCATTATTAACAGCTAGTGGCGACCTTCATAAAGTGTGATATAAGACAGTGTTATACTCAACGATAGGGAAGTATCCGTTTCGTCATGAGTTCTAAGTTTGCCTTACATTAATCTTTGACATGGCACTAGGCGAGAAGTTCATGTTAAAGCATCAAGTCTCTATATTTATGGATAGGGCATAATAAAAAATCGCTGAGGCTACGGTACACCTACACAAGTATGAAGGAGCAACTAAGCCTGTAGCCTACGTTGGAATTCCAGAGCTTGCACGTCACGTACAAAGCAATCGAACGATAAAAGAAAATGATCGTCGTGCAACGATTGCTCTGCTCCAGCAGTTCAGGTGTCTGTCCGAGGAATGTATTTCTGGAAATCGTACCAATACAGTGCAACACACTATTTTCACAGGGGACCATATGCGAAACTGAAAGCCGTTCTTCAGCGTCTTAGACAACATAATCTAAAAGTAAAACAATCCAAACGCGGCCTGCTGCAGAAGGAAGTAGTACTCTCAGGACATCAAATCACCGCAGATGGAGTGGGTGCATATACCGAAAAGACGGGTGCCACTGTCATATGGCGGCATTCGAAAATTTCAAAAGAAGTTCGCAGTTTCCTTATTCTCACGTCCTCATACAGACGTTTGTCCGTGACTTTGCATCCTTAGCAGTAACTTTGCACAGACCGACACATAACGGACGGAAATTTCAATGGACCAGCTAGTGTCAAAAGGAATTCGATACGTCGAAGGTACGGTTAACCTCCCCACCTATATTAGCCTTTGGCGATACCTCAGCAGACAGAGGCGGGTTCATACTCAATATGGATGCAAGTTCCCCAGCCACTGAAGCAGTTTTACCACAAGAAGCTCAAGATGGCCAGTAGAGAGTCATTACGTACGCCAGTGGACGACTAGATAAGTGCAAAGCACGGTATTCCACAACACGACGAGAAATGCTAGCATGAGTCAAAATCTAACAGCACTTCCGTCATTGTCTGCTTGGTGGACCTTTTTGTGTGCCAATTACAGTGGCTCCGTTCTTTCCGCGAACTTAAAGGACAAGTAACAGGCTGGCAGGAAGCGTAGAAGGACTTTATTTCACATGTGAGTACCGACCGAGGAATAGACATACACATGCAGACGTCCTCTTTCTCATGCCTCTGTCCACGGATAGCGTGGGTGCGATTCTGAGTACAGCAGAAAAGACTGGCTGGACTTCTCTGCGAGCTGCAGATGCGGATTTAGAGGTTCTTTATCAAAGACTATTAAATAGGGACAATAAGCCGTCGTTGAGGGCGTTCACAGACAAATCCCCTGTAACTCGTCGTATTTGTAACAAATGGAGCACCTTAAAATTATATGAAGACATTCTATTCCTAATTAATGAGTTCAGACAATCACTGCTGATAGTACAGTAAGTAAAAATCCAGAGTGTTGTGGAGCAAGTTCATGGCGAACTTGATCATGCTGGAGAACGAAGAACTGAATATGCTGTTCGCCAGTGCATTTGGTGGCAATCTATTCACAAAGATATAGGTTAATTTTGCCAAGACTTTAACTCTTGTTGCCGCATAAAAACGACCAAACAGACACCATGTGGCCCATTAATGCCGATGAGGACAACTTGACCACTCCAGCAAGTTGACATTGATATTATGGGAGCGTTGTCGACGACAAGAAAAGGAATCGCTGAATGTTATTATGGTAGATTATTTCACCAATTGGTGCAAAGCAGTACCCATTCCGCAGTAAGACGCCCCTACTGTCGCACAGGCTTTCATCTATCAATGCGAATCCCGTTCCTTTGACCCACTCTCACTCCACTCCAACCTAGTCCCGGCCATTGAAAGTCATCTCATTGCTGTTATATGCAAATTATTAGGAATAAGGAAGACGCATGCTGCCGCATACCACCCAGAAGTTCATGGCCAAGTCGAAAGAACAAATAGAACCAATAAAGCCATAAACCATCGTTCATCAGTAGTTCCTCAACCGCGATGTGGGATGAGGCGCTTTCTCAATGCATGTTAGCTTTTGGACATCGGCACGTCGGTTTGAGGGATTTTCAGCTGCTATTTAACTATCAGAACAAGAACTACGCCTTTCGGTGGATATACAGTCGCCTTTGCTACCCTACGAAGAACAAGTAAACGTCCCCCTCTACGTTGGTATTACGCGACCTTCAGCTACCTCGGGAGGACGTAATAACTGTGTTACAATAGTAATCAGCGATTGAAGACCTTCTATAGCATGATTCGAATTCAGCTACATTCATTTCGTTCTCTCAAATTCAAACCTTATGAATTCCTCATCATCTACATATTTCGCCTTCGAAAATTATCTCACAAAAGTATATCCTTCGAATTATATCTTCTCCGTCACGAATAATACTTCTGCTATCACAAGGAGCTGTCAGTCGCGACTGCTTGTCGGCAGTCTGAACCTATGTTCACAAGTACGAAGTCATACTTTGTAACTGGCTGACATTTTTGTCAGACAATTAAACATCCTACATATGTTCTCACTGTACACATCAACTGCTCAATAGTTGTTGAGCTCAACAGCAGTTACTGATACACCTGTTATCACTCATGAAGCAAATGTCAGTAACTTTGATTCTCTAATCTAATCTATCTTTGTTTCAAACCACAATCTTTAATTTCCATATCTGCCTTGGATTCCTAGTGCATTTTATTCTTTGATTCTCAAGTTTTCCTTTCGTCTGAGGTCTCTGAAAGTATATCTAACATTGTGACACAATGAAAACTCGTGCTTCCAGATTCTCATTGGCCGCTTTATAATTCTAGTACAACCGAACAAACGTCACTGTGTCAGTCTGAAAATTCCAATGTGCTTCCAATTAAATCACTTCAGTTTGCAGCTCCTGCAAACCATCACCAGTAAAGCACAACTATGTCGGAGGTGGGAAATTTACCCATCAAAGCCAATGGAATAATCTTTAACTTTCGCACCACTAAATATCGATCAACCGCTGCAGATACTAAGTGTTCGTGTTATTTTTGATCCTCACGACTCACGTCTGAATAGTCACATACTAGCAAGATACACCTACACTTTTCCGTTCCACAAGTTTCCAATGGGTATCTTATTTGTCGCAGGTCGTGATTTCAATACAAATTCATTAGCTTTGTCAATGAATTGATATTTAAGGGGAAAAAAAAAACACATTAAGATTATTGAACAAAAATATTTATGTACAGAAATAATATCTATCTAATAATAATTATTCAACTGAACAATCGTGTCTCATTCAAGATGAACTATATTGATTACTTTGTGATTAATTGACAGTTTTGAATCAGAAAACTTGTTATCATTCAATGTCACAGGTTCAATAATTTTTTGTTCATTTACAAATAATAACGGACTTGATGTTGTTGGATTAGTTAAATCAAATGCATCCAATGTTATTGATGAATTGACTGCTTTCGACAAAGAACTGGCTTGTGCAGCGACTGCAGCTGCAGCAGCTGCCATCACAGCAGCTGTTGCTGTACTTTGACCAGCTAATGATCTATACTGTTGTGAACAAACTGCTTCAGTGATCATTTGTGGTTGTACAGTATTAATATCATCCATCATTAGTGTGTGTGATGTTTGTTGTTCTGTTGACTCCAGCATCCTTGGTATACTACTAGGGAACAATGTATGGAAATCAGTATGTGTTTGTTTTAAACGTGGAACACTGCCAAAATTACGATTACGTTTCATTGTCTCTGCTATTGTTGTTAATGTGGTTGTAGTAATAGTAGTAGTAGTAGTAGTTTTTGTTATTTCAACTACTGGTTGTTCATAGTGTTGTGCCAATAGACGTTCATGATGTTGACATAATTGTGGAAAAGCACTGGATACTTTTCCATAGGTCAATAATGCATTATTTCCTTTGATATCTAATTCTGAAGTTAAAAAATTATTTGATATTGTAGTGAGATATGCATCTTTTACCGAAGATATATCACGAATATCCTTTGAATACAGATTATGCAATGTATTACCAATTATTCCAGTTGATTCTTCAATCTGACCTGTGTTAATTGGTAATGTGGACATGATAGCCGTTGAATTATTGATTGTTGATAATAGAAATGGTGAAGCAGCATTACACGGCATAACTAATGATTCAACGTGTTCAATGTTTCTGTTCAATGTCCGATGTTTATCAATCAGGCTATTATGATTATGATTATCATTATTAACGGATAACGAATTCGGATTAAGCGGGAAACAACTGAATAGACGAATTGGCGTTGATGATGACATGGTTGAAATCATTTTACCAATATTATTATTATTATTATTATCATTACTAAAATGAAGTTTTTCATTTTCAACCACTTTCATTTCATGGTTATTGATAAACTCTAATGAATCACAATGTTTGATTGGTTGATCATGAAAACAATATTTTGGATTCTCAATTGCTTTCTTATAGGATAATTGAAATTTGTCAAAATACCGCATTATTTCATGAATATTAAAGTATTTTTGTAATATACACATAATTAATATTGGATCAATGGAAAAATGTAA